TTGGTATAAAGTCCTCGTCCAGTTTTTCCAACTCCTCTTGCTTGTGCAGGATGGTCTGGATGTCTATCTGGCTGGGCTTGGTCCTTGGGGTCCTTCCAGGGGTAACTATAGTGTTTTAGTTATACCACCCATCAACTCCTCCGCATGTCGAGATGCAAATCTGTTGCTGTGAATCTCAAGGATGCAACGGCTTACACGTGTGCGGCGAAGCACCTAGATGCTCTTTTATCCAGTATTTGCTGGCCATTTCATATCCTTCAACTAAATTAAGAAACACTGTCAGCATGGAAAGGCGTAGGCTTGTTGTTGGATTCTTACTTTGGCAAGCGAAATTGTCAAAGATGTAATCGTTCGTCAGCTCCTCTCCATCCGGGCCGGTCTCTCCATGCTTCTGAAAATGCTTTATCGCACGATTGTACACCAGCGGCGGTTCCGAGAAAAAGCCAGATTTACAGTCTGGCCGATTGCAGCGTATCACGAAGTAACCTTTTCTGTCGGAGTGCCGAAAAATACACTCCGTCGTTTCCAAGTTAGGGAAAGCGATTTTACGAGAAATTTCAGGGCGTGTTGTTTCTTGCGAGGCCTGCATGCCTGTGAGCCAAAGAGAATTCGCTATCAACTATGCCATATTCACCTTTCTACCATCGGTCTTCTGGCGCTTAGGCGGTGAGTGCCCGTGGCTAGTCCTCCCTCCGATTCTAGGACGCTTTGGGCTTTGAGTAGCTATTGGGCTTTGGGCTGTGATCTGAGCCTGTGTTGGGCGATCAACGTAGGCAGCTGCTCTAGGAGAGGAATGCACTTCTGTCTTGGGAGATCGATGCTGGGATCCCATACCGGGAGACATATGGCTCTGCTGCGGTGGTGTAGCCAATGGTCTACTTGACTGAGCATCCGCACCGAGTACGGTGCTGAAATAGTTGTTCTCGCGAGAAGGCGATGCGATCACGGGAGTAGGAGGACGTATGGCCAAGATGGAGGCGGTAGGGATCACACTTAGGTACTTGGGTGACATGGGACGAAGTTGAGAAACGACATCATCGATAACACCCACGTCAACCTGAAGCAACTCGAGCTTCTCGCGCAGTCCTCGTACCAATCTTTCTTTGTCACTCTCGAAGGCCTCTCGTTCCTGATCCACCTCTCGCAAGAGTGCGCGCAACTTGGGGACATAGGTGCGGCCCAGAATATCATCTCGTTCGCGGGCCAGCTGAAGAAGCTCCTGCTTAACGAAAGACAAGGCGAAGTCCGACATGGCACTGCTGAGCTTGCCTCCAGGGCTACCGTGATCCGTGGGAATTGGTTCAGCGGCCATGTTCGGGGGGCAATACCGACGACGAAAACTAAGGCTCGTCGACGATTATGCTCAAGGCGGGAACCGGAGCAGAGGGATCAGAGACCAAAAGGACAGGTTCGGAGAGGGGGTAAGAAGATCAAATAGATATGCGTCGGCCCGTTTGGTCGAACAAGCCCGAAAGATACCTACATGTGGTGGCATGCAGTTTTCTCCGCACCGGGTACTGAGCAGCAGTGCTCGTCACTTGCGACCTGTCGCTTTTATTGCCAGAACGATATAAGTCGGATCAAGGATCTTCTTGCATTGGGCCACAGGAATGAAGCGGAGGGTGTCTCTCTAAAAAAAGAAAAAGAAACGAAGAGAAAAGAAACTGAAAGCGAAAACGAAGCCTTAGGAGCTGTTCGAGGGGAAGAGGGGAGGGAGCAGAGTGGATTCTAACTCGCATGCATATGAAGAGCTGGAATAATTCAATTTGTTTCTAAAATAACAAGATTCAGAAAGTGGTGTGTATGTATGTATGTAGATGAGAGAAGAATAACTAATAACAGCTGTTATTGTTGTTGTTGATGTGAGATGTGAGAATTGAAAATATAGTTAGGTTAGGTAGGTAGTACTTAATAGGTAGCGAAGTGATGTGGGATGTATAGATGGACGAATTTTATCAGGGCTCGGTCCGAAGAAAAAAAAAGGACTTGGGTATCTCTACCTACTTAGATAATTAAACGAAGTTCGGGCTAATTATAAACCCTATAAATAAAAAAAGGAAACGAGAAAAAAAAAAGAAGACGAGAGAGGTGGAAGGAAGGAAAGAGACTGGCTGGCTGGTAAGTAGCTATGTAGCTATCAAGTAAGTGCATATGTGTGTACATACTTACCTATACCTACATATGTATGGATGCCGTAAGGTATCGTTTAAGCGAGGCTAGCTGGCGATGGGGAAGGAATGATGAGAGCCCAACCTATGGAAAGATGGGGAAATAGCGGCTACCGGATCTGATCTCCAGCATATATGCACGTGTAACGTGAGCATGGCACCTAACAGGTCACTTGGGAATTGGAGATTGCTTGGGAAAGATGGAGTCGGGTATGCAAACGCCAATGCACCTCACCGTTTCTGGCAAACGCGGCATCCATTCCCACTCGGTAGTAGTCTGCCCTCCTCAGTGGTTCGTTCAAAACCTTCCAGTAGGTTACCATTAACAACATTGACATGGATGAATCCATCCGCCTATCGAAGGTACCATATGTACCTAACAGGCAACTATGGCTTTTTTTTCTTCTTCTCTTTTCCCTTTTCTTTTAGTTGGTATGTACGTAGTTGCAGTAACCATCAAGTTCGTATTCATGCATATAACACTGCACGTACTTTCATATAGACAAATTATATCTACCTATCGAAAAGAAATACTTACCTATATTTCACATAAAGTTTTAAAATATACATTTACGTTCCCCATACTAAATTAAATCACTATAATCAAATATTATGTAATTACGGCAAGGCTGTATTAATAGCGCATTTGATGTGCAAAGAAAAAGTATGAAAAAGGTTAAACGGCATCTAAATAGTTTATCTCGAGTACAGATAAGTAAAGGATAGTATCATAAAGTTCCCATGTTCGAAGGATCAGCACATAACAAGGAAGTAGGAATAACAAGACGGTATCCAGTCACCTCAATACATCGAAAATTTAGTTGCCTAACCTAATTATATTCATTGCCTAGGTACTTAACCACCTACCTTCTTAGCTTGAGATACCTTACAAAGTCTCCAAGGAAAGTCGGTGGTTCCCCCGGTCTTTTGCTGTAGGGGGGATGACGAATTCAAAGCCAAGCAGGATGAAGTTCGGTGGCCGTGTAGAAACAACTCATCTGCCTAGCTTCGATGCTATCTATTATCGAAGTATACTAACCTAGGTTTCTAGGACTTTGTGGTTCATCGTGCGGGAGATCTACAAGGGACCCGAATACCGAGCCGCTATGTTTCAAAGGAGCCATTAAGTGACAAGGTCGAATTAGGTAATAATACCCGGGGTGACTTTGATAAGACCGCGTGAGTTTAGAAGAGGACATCTTGTGTGGTCTGTCTTCGTGGAATCGTAATCTTTGATACCATCTCTTTCCCACCAAGATACCTATATAATAGGCCTTCAAGTAAAGCAATACATTTGCATCCACCTAGGTCTGGCATGCAGCTGGGTATCGAAAGTAGTATTAATTCTATGTGCAAATAGGTTACCCCTTACCTGTGAACCAACGTCAAAACCATAAAAGCCCCGAAAGATAGTCCATAATCTGTATTATGCCTTCGGTTCCTTGTCGTTAGAGCTGGTATTCCTGTCTATTATAAAAAGATCCGCACGCCCGCTATCCCATTTCGGCGATAAAGCATTATCGCCGTCATCATCACTCTGATAATACCTACCTATGCTCGTGTGGTGTCGTAGCATTTTGTGAAAATCCTCATGTCACCACGCCCAGCATCAACACAAAATGTGCCGCAGATGCCTACCTACCAACCTCTGAGCGACAAAGCATAAAATCAGATCCCAGATATTAAATCGGTGTTACTGTGGACCAAAAACCTCGTGGGGAAGGGCATTCAAGGTACATCTATTGACCGGGGTTGGTAGTCTCGGTTTCACCCGCCGCCCTGCCTCCCCCCTTCTTTTCAACCTCTCTCTCTCTCTCGATCAGCCTTGTCGAGCACGGGATTATCTCCGCTGAACGCAGATAACCTTAAATTCCCGAGATACAACCTAACATACACCCTACCTACCTGCGCAAGACCCTGGTTATTAAACCCCCCCGGTCTCCACACGCGAGAGTTTTCCCACCGAAGGGCGTACTAGGTAGGTAGGTAGGTAAGTCTTTATTGTTATTATTTTCTAGTGTTGGGTCAACCATGTAGTACAGGGATGAAGTTGTCACTTATGAAACCAGCGTTATAGGCCGGGAATAAAGAGATAGCATCTTCCCCCTACCTAGCTTGTTGTATTATCATGATAACCTTGCTATGTCGACTTCTATCCCAATGTCGTTGTCTGTCACTGAAAAAAAATTCATTACTTGAAAGAATGTGTCATGGATGGTGCAAAATGTCATATCATATAGCTCTTGACATTGCGCCTTTCGTCTCCCTTGGCCCGGATTTTACCCCGTCCAAGAGTCTTCACCGGTTTTGGATATAGGTATGTATTATGTATTAGTGAACATCTATTCGGCCCAGTGTTCTATATCTATAGTTACATTGCAGGTGTTTATGGATATGTCAACAGGTTGTGGATGATGGGAGCTGCGTATAGGTTTCCGTGGTATTGAAGACTTGACTGGCTTTTAGCATCGGTTGTGCCTATTCCTTGCCTATCTTAATGTCTGGTACATCAAGATTGATAGCACGAAAGAAACTTAATAGCAAACCTAGGTAGGTTGATTCATACTCTGAAGTATGAAGTATAATGTTGAACTCTTAGAAAGGCTTTAAAAAGACGTACTTAGTTTAAGTCTAGATATATTTAGCTTAGGTAAAATGGAGGGACCTAGGAAATAATTCTCTCTCTTTCTATCCCTCGTTCTTGGTTAGTCTGTTTGTAGTGTAGGCACTTATATAGTCCACACTTGATGGATCCAAGCTCCCACCTCCATTTATGACAATGTTTACCAACAGAAATCCTCATCGATCGCAAGATTGTTGATCCGACCATTTGCCCGGTTAGCTCAATCGGTAGAGCGTGAGACTCTTAATCTCAAGGTTGCGGGTGAGTTTTCCAACTAACACACAAATCCTGAGTAATTGATGTTCAATTCATTCTGACCATCAACCCATAGGTTCGACCCCCGCATCGGGCTCAATTCCTGATGCTTCCCAGACAACTGGGATTGCAACCCATTTTTTTTCTTTCTTTCCTTAGAATGTGTTATATTTTTATTTATCTGCCTAGGCATTTAGTGAATTAAAAAAAAATTTCCCTGGTAAATCTATTTTCAGCCTTTTTCTTTTTCTATATACCTCATGTATGGAGAGGTATCAATGTGTGTATTTCGTGTCCTCGGCACTTTTCATGCCCAGCATTAAACCCCACTATATCAGAACACATTTTCTCTTACATGCCTAGCAGGCATGGAGGTCGCTTCACGTGAAGCGACATGCAACATGCACAAGACGTAGTATCTGGAAACCTGATATTGTAGGACATGCAGCTCATATATATCCAAATAAATTAAATTACATTAAAAAACACCCCGTACTATATCCAATGTCTCCGATTTGATCTAGCCGTACCAGTACTAGCTAGAAGTTGTAGTGTTAGTCCTTCACTAACAGCATTAGGAACCCTCAACTAACTACCCCTATCAAATATATCTCAACTTTCCAACAAACCTTGCTAACTTCAAATGTATGGAACAAGATTTGGATTGGAATGACAATCATATAATCCCATTAAATTTCAACTGGTATCTATGAGGTTTTACCGTGTCTTGATTTTCAGGTACCGAATGACTTCTGCCCCCGTCTCATCCACCGCCCTAGAAGCCACGATCTTGTACCCGCCAATCGCCGGCCATATCTTGGACCAGCACAGCCAGTAGACGCCACCAAGGATCAGAACACCCACGCCGACCACGGGGAACACGTAGTACGGGTACCCGTCCGAGTTCCAGTCCCCGTTCGGCGGGACGAAGGGCACGGCGGCGAGGAATATGTTGGCGAGCAGGTAGACCACGGTGATGGGCAGGAAGGTGTGCCACGGCGACGACCAGTTCTCGGACTTCTTCCACTGTAAGTATAACAACCCCGCCGCGACAAACGCATTGATCCAGGCGCCCGGGTACGTGTACAGGTTGACGATGAAGTTGTACGCAGCTCCGGCCGGGGGCGCCACTAAGACGATGACAGTGACGATCCAGTGTAGAAATAGCTATAATTCAACAGGTTAGTGCTACAAACGAGAATAGTTACCTAGGTATTAGTTTTCTCTTCCGAGAATGGACTTACTGCAGCGGCCGGTGAGTTGAACGGCTTGTTCGATCCCCAGAAGCGACTGAACGGCAGAAGCGCCTCCTTTCCAAACTCCTGGTTCAGCCGAGAGTGCGCAAAACTGACAGCTAGGACATTTCCAAGATTGCTGATCGCGACAAAAGCAGGGAGACTCCGTGCCGCCGCCCCATCACCAAACACGTTGCGGAAGAACAGGCCTGCGACGAGGACCTCGGACGTGGCCAGGTCGTCCTTGGAAATGGCCGCGAAATAGGCGACATTGGCGAGCACGTACAGGATCGTGACGCCCCCGACGGCGATGGGAGCCGCGATGGAGAGCGTCTTCCTAGGGTGCTTCAGCTCGCCGATGACATAGTTGGCGTTCTCCCAGCCCTTGTAGCTATAAATGATCTGCAACAGGGCGGTCGCGTATCCGTAAGCGCCCTGGCCGCCGTAATTCTCGGTCGTCTCGATAGCGAAGGCGTTGTGGAAGTTGCCGGGGGGCGGCACCAGCAGCCGGCCGTCGAGGGCGGCGAAGCCCGAGAACACGATGAATATGAGGATGACGACCTTGAAGATGCCCAGCACGTTGACGAGCCGCAGCCCCCACTTCGGCAGCGTCGAGTGCAGCACCACGGAGAAGGTGATGCACGCGATGGCGATGCCGCGGGCCGCCCAGCCGTCGCCCAGGGTGCTGCCCGAGGCGGCGAGCACGTACCGCCCGAAGGCGAGCGAGTTGCCCGACGAGAAGCCCAGGAGAATCATCTGCGACGCCAGCACGCAGGTCGCGAGGTAGCGCGGGTGGCGGTACACGCGCTCGAGGTAGTTCTTCTCGCCGCCGGAGCGCGGGATCGCGAGGCCGAACTCGAGGAACACGCTCAGGCCGCAGAACGTCAGGACGCCGCCGACGATCCACAGTATGATGGACACGCCCACCGAGCCGGTGGAAGCGAATATCGTCGATGGTGTTGAGAATACTAGTTTCCCCCACCATCCCCTTTCCGTTAACCGACTAGTCCTCCTACTAGGTAAGGGAGTGAGATCTGGGGTAGCTACGGGGATTTCAACTTACTTCCCGTGCCGATCATCTTGTTCAGTATGAGGAACACGGCGCCCGTGATGCCGATCTTGCGCGATTCATCGTACTCATACTGCTCTACGCCCTCTGTCCGCGGGGCGTACTCCTCGTCAGACGATGCTGCCAGCGCCCGCGCGTCCGCGACCTCGGGGTCTTTCTTTGTCGTGTCGGCGGCCATGGTCCATGCGACGACTATCGAGGGGAGAAAAAAATAAGGCAAGCGAATGAATACGGAAATCCCACCTATTAGACGAGAACGCACATTGTGAGGGAAGAGGAGAGAGGGGAAAAAAGTCAAATGAGTATGCAGATCGCAAGGTAGGTAACCTAGAAATATATACAGATATATATTATTATCGCCTCCCGCGCCGCGCCGCGATGGCAAGACAAGACGGAGAACAAAATAACAACCTGCCTATTTGAAAAGTGCCTCGGTGAGACAATGCAACCATTCGACGCTTCTAACCTAGCGACTAGAACAAACGAGGTGCTGCACAGAAGCAAAAGAGAATGCCACCCCTGGTAGCCCAATGACGCGATCGAGTTTCTGTTACGTAGGATCTGCCCGTCCAGTGGCCGCTTGGCGGGCTGCACGCCATACCACCAGAACCTGACGCAAACGGGGGACGAGCCTATTCCATAAGCTCGGCGTTGGATATACTTTGGGGGCTGGCCATCGATGATCGTTCGGTTCGTGCCTTTTTGCATATGAAAAAAAGAAAATTCTAAATAACTTGTTCCCCGACATCCACCAAAATGTTAGTATCCCTTTTTGACTTCGTCTGGTCTTCTTCGCCTTGTTTCCCCGGCCTCATGGATCCAACCATACGGATCCCCCTTCCCGGACTTCTCGATCTGGCTTGGTCGAACCAGATGCGTAAAGATTTGAGCCCCAACTACCACCACCACCACCACCTGACATCTGTCGAGAGTATTTACGCTAGGGGGGGTAAACGCCATTCTAACGCAATGTTATATAAGACTAGGCGTTGCCATGGTTGGCCAGTGTCATGTGTTTCTATTACTCTTTTTTTTTTCTTCGAATCCTTCCTGCCAAGGGAATACAATTTGCCTGCTCTACCTAGCCCCCCGATACGAGTTGCGTTGTAAGAGCCTGTGTGGGCATGATTTGGTCTTGGTCTTGCTCCGGGCTGAAGCAATTTTTGGGGTTTTATTTGTTAAAGTATCCATGTCCATGCGCACAGGCTTCCTCAGCTCGTCTCGATCCGGTGCTACCCGCCTAACTACCTACCTAACCTAGGTGCGTACCTGGCATTGATATGATCTCTAGCTCGAACCTCACTGGTATGGTATTGTAGCGATGGGTAGAGATTATGTAGGTATAGCGCTGCGTGATACCCTGTACTGTTCCTGCGTCTGTCCGTCTGTCACCAGATCGAGCTGCTCGAGGGGGCCCTGCTGACTCTGGCAAGTAGGACTATAATACAAAATCGTTCTATGTATCTAAACATCCAGTTGAATCTGCCCGCACCTTTGATCATTGATCATTGAGGAAGTCTTCCTTTAGAAACGGCCACTTTAACGTGGACTCGGAGATTCTCGCGATATTGGATATCGAAGTTGTAGGTAGTTGTCAAGTAGGATATCCGTCCTGCCGACGAGCTTAACCACATGTTCCCAAACTTACATACAGCGAAGTTATATCCGCTATTGGCAGAGGTCTATACTGTGAGCTCATAACGTAGTCGATTCCCAGAACGATAATCTATATGATAATGCAGATTGTGGTGGCTATTCCAAGGTCCCCAAGTGTTTTTTATAATAATAATAAAAATAAAGAGTTATTTATGTTTTACGAATTACGGTATACAAATAAAGACGGAAGATCCATCAGTCTTGGGATCAAGATTGGGACTTGCGAAGTTGGTCACTGTGTTCTGGGACCGGGAGCGATTTACATGGATACAGGAGAGCAGAGGTTGATTTTAATAACCGGGTAACAAAAGAAAGTTAAGTATAATTGTAATAGCTGCAACGTGCGGGGACGAGTATATTATAGGTGTACCACCTTTGGATTCGGCAAAGTAAATGAGGCGTCTTAGCCATGCCTACTGCAATGATATATCGTATATACTGCCGTGTCTATAAGATTGGAGAGATGATATTGGAGCACAAGGCATGTTTTGCAGTCGCTCTCCTTATTACCCTTTGCCTATATATTCAAGCGCGCCTACATTATGAAGTTTCAATACGCCAGATTTGATCACCATCCATCTACATCACATTATGTAATGTCTACCAGACACCAAGCCATTATCATTGGCTATATGTGGTATACATATAGTTCTTAGAGCCAGTATACACTTTAGTAAAGTGCACGAGTTCTTACATGTAGTTTCATAAACTATTGATGTACCTAAGTAAGTATAATACCACTTAAGTAATTTAAACGTTCTTACATATACTTAACTACATGTCTGGTGGTAACAGTTGAGTTAACCCGAGTTTAAGTACACCAAATCAATATATCAACCTAAACTTGTGGTCTGCGGTAAAGCTAGGTTTCAATTACAATATGTCAAGTTTAGGCTAAATGTGGATGGCAACTCGTCATTTTGACTATACAATGCGTCAATCAAGTACTGATACCTTCAATGTTCTATGTAAGACAGCAACTAATCTTTAAACAACTTGAAAGATCTGCATCAATGTTAAGTCACCTCTAGGTAATGCAACTGGTTTCCCCAAAAATTCACGTGT